GCAGCAACAAATAAAAAAATCATCGGAAATGTTTTCAGTGTTTATTTTAGTAATGCCTACTATAAAAAAAGTCGATCGTCAATGAACAGTTCAAACGTACGATTAATGGTGTAATAATTTCAATTAACAAAGCCGTAACAGTTTCGATTCACGGCGAATTATATTCGCAATTTCGCGTGGTACCAACACGCTTAGGCCTAATATTAAATCAGTTCGAAATAATTGTGGCAATTACCCCGTTCGAACCGTTACGAAATAATTAATTTTCGCTTAATTAAATCACCTGACATCACCAGGCGGTTTCCAAATCAGAAAATCAATAAAACCAAACAAACTAATCGTTGATCTTTATTAAAAATTTTTAAAATGATCCCAAACAAATAATATAAGTAAATCTTATATTATTATGTAATAAGGTCGATTTTTGACTATTTCTTATTAAACTAAAAATGTTAAGTAAATGAAAATAAAAAGTTATAAAATATATTCGTCTCGATACATTTTCGTATTCAATTCGTGTATCTGTTGGAATATCGGCTTCACAAATTACGTTTTAGAAGACTTCTTCGCGGGTGTGTACGTTCTTGAAATTGCACTCCTCGCTCGCGTTTCTCTTCTATATTTTAAAACGTGTGACACGTACACTGAATCGTGCTATATAACAAACTTCTCCTTCTCCTTCTCTCGCAAACTTTTAGATATCGATCTTGGAACGGCGACGCGACGTTCCTCGCTCTACATGCGTGTGTTTCCACTTTATATAGTATAGGTATGTGTGTTGTGTGTGTGTGTGTGAGTGTGAGTGAGTGCTAGAAGTTTCCTGACTTGCCCGAGAGACTGTTGCTGCTCCTTTCTCTACTTTGGAGAAACGTTTAGCGTTCCATTTTCCAAATTACTAAAGTACTAAAAGATTTTTTTGGGGAAAAATTAAAATCTGGCTCCTCCGCCATTTTGTAACTATTAAAACGATTTGTATATATGTAGCTTCACGTGGGAGAGAATTCCTTCACAGCACTTAGGTCCCAGCGGGCCCTTTGTATGTACATCCCCACATTTTACAGTTCATTCAGGGGTCAGAAAACCAGCCCAAGGTTTTAATGAACGTTAATATAGAACAGAACGGTATGTACACCAAAAAGTGGATTCCCTTAAGTATGCGAGGTTGGGAGTCACAAACAATATGACTTACCGTCTCATCTTCCATTTCAGTGTCCAGTCAGGAAGTGGTTGAGGAGCCTCAAGTCACTTTTTGATTTTCCAGGAACTGAGTAGATCTCTTCCAGTCAGGGTAAAGCAGAGTTTTCTTTGCAAAGACACCTACTACAGTCTAATTTATCTATCGCAAAAAGCTCGATGGGAGGTGGAGTTGATCAGCTTTGATGCTATATTAAAAGTTAGAGATATAAATGGTTATGGTGACTTCTTAGCCGCCGATTTTGCCAACCTATCGGCATGATCGTGTCCCTTATGTCCGGTATGTGCTTTCAACCACTTCATCGTGATGTTGTTATAAACGTGCATATTCAGACGCACGGCTAAATCCGAAACTTTCTAGGTTCTAGGTCTAGTGTTAGTTCTAGTTTTAATTCAATAAAAATATGCAACACAGTGATATCTAATGCTAATTAGCTATATTAAATTCGTTATTTTTTTCTGATTACAAAAATATAGGGTTCGACAGGTCTATTTCTTATTGTTTTGGAATAAATTTAAAAATAAACTTTTTTTATAAAATTTCTAAACGCAATGTAGTGTTGTTAAAGAAATAAAATTTACAGTTTCCTGTAAATTAAGGGGCGGTATTTAAATTACGAGGTATTATTTTTCTGATATTTAAAAACAAATAATTATGTTGATTACACCAACTGTTAATACGGAAATATTTAATGGATTGCATTGTTTTAGATTGGAGAAATATGTTTTTTTAATTTTTAGTTATAGTACCGTAATTTACAGGAAACTGTAAATTTAATTTCTTTGATCATACTAAAAAAAAGTTTATTTTTAGCTTTATTCCAAAACAATAAGAAATTGACCTGTCGAACCCTATATTTTTGTAATCAGAAAAAAATAACGAATTTAATAAATAACGAATAAATAAAAATAGAATGTTACATTTCTAACATGATGAACTTTTCGTAATTTTCGTAATCCATCTTAAAAAACAGGATTTTTTTATTTGACACTTCAGAAAATTTAAAAAAAATATATATATGAGCGCCATCTATCAATAATTAATTAAGTCATTTAATAATAATATTAAAAATTAATAAAAAATGTGAAATAATGCAATCTATTCCAACTTTTGTGTAAAACAAATATAAATTAAATAGTTCAACAAATGTATTTGTTTCAAATATCAGAAATATGTTTTTTTAATTTTTAGTTATAATTTACAGGAAACTGTAAATTTAATTTCTTTGACGACACTAAAAAAAAGTTTATTTTTAGCTTTATTCTAAAACA